TTTTTTTTTTTTTGCCTGGACAGTGTTGCTTTAATAAGATGTATAGACATAAGTGGATGCAAATATATTTTGAATTTAAAATTGACAGGACTTGTTTATGGATTAGACATTAAGTTGTGTCAACAAGAGGATTCAACGATCATTTATAAAATGTTGGACAGAAAAAAACTGGTGATGTCAGTATCAGTGAATTGCGAAGACTGAAATAGAGAAGGGGTTGGGTAAGAAAACATAATTTCTAGGTTGGCCTTTTTAGTCTGAGATTTTGCAATGCCATTTTTATAACCATGTAGAAGGCTATATTGACTGAATAGGAGTCTAAATCTTAAGAACACAGTGTTGCTCTTAAGTATCTCTGTTGTTTGTCTCATCTTTTTAAAAACAAGCCATTTTTATTTGTTTACTTTTCTTACTTATCTTTAGTTATTGAAATTAGTATGAATATGCTATAACTTATCCATTATTCTGATTATAGACATTTGAGTTTTTTTTTTTTAAGATTTATTTATTTGTGCATACAGAACTGGGGTACAGGCCAGAGGTTCAGGGGCGGTGAGAGGCTTCACCAGAGACAGAGTGGGGAGCAGAACAGGCAGATCGACGAAGTACACTGCTGAGGGGAGCAGTGGGCGGGTCAGGAGTGTTTACTTTTCTTACTTATCTTTAGTTATTGAAATTAGTATGAATATGCTATAACTTATCCATTATTCTGATTATAGACATTTGAGTTTTTTTTTTTTAAGATTTTTTATTTGTGCATACAGAACTGGGGTACAGGCCAGAGGTTCAGGGGCGGTGAGAGGCTTCACAAGAGACAGATTGGGGAACAGAACAGGCAGATCCACGAAGTACACTGCTGAGGGGAGCAGTGGGTGGGTCAGGAGAGGTCTGCCATGCCATGTGGTCACCTCCAGGGCAGGCAGGAATCGAACTCTTGCGCAAGCGGCTTTAGATTCTCAGTGCTGTGCTTTAATCCGCTGCGCCACCAGGGAGGGCCTAGACATTTGAGTTATTTTGAAAGCAGTGAACATTTTTAAAAGATATTTATTTTGTGCATGACAAATGTTTTTGTGCAGCAATTGTTTTTATTTCTTTGGGTAAATACTAGAATGAAATTTTTAGTTCACATAGTAGACATGTATTTAGCTTTTTATGAACTTGCTAAACAATTATCCAAAGAAATTACAACACTTAAAAAACATGGGCTCTAAATAATGATTTTTGTTAAATATAGGATTTAACATTTTGTTATATTTATTTATATTGTTTACTTTATATTTTTATAGTTCACATTATTTATACTGCTAAGTTCAATGAAGAGGGAAATGAGAATAGCTAGCAAATTGATACCTAATTTAGAACTTTATTGATGATAGTTTGAATTAGAACTATTTTAAAAATAGTAAGGCTTGTCTCTAAGTTCACAAGCTTATTTGGAGCCCAGAAGAAACATGGTCTCTCATTTAGTCATTTGGGCCTAGAAATTGGGAAAAGTTTTAGTGAGAAGCTGCAAAATAGAAAATAGGGAAAGTCTTGTTAGCTAAGAGAGAATCTTA